TTAAAATGAGCTTAAATATATATTTGCAAATGTTTGTATGTTTCATGCCAGGCAGAAACCAGCTGGCTAAGTACTTTGGCAGTTGTTTATCTTCCTGCTCTCCTGAACAAGGGCCCCCCTGATTTATAGCAGTAGCAGGAGACAAGTTTCTCAAAGTTGTAAAAGGAAATTACAGGCTGGGAGCAAATGTTACACTGTCCCTACATATTACAGAATACAATCAAGCTGCAAAAACACTAATTAAGAGTTGGTAAATAGTAAGATTTATTGTTTAACAGAAAATAATACCATGTGCCTCCCATCAAACTCTAGCCATATTTTCCTAAGGTTTAAGGTATACTGAGAGAGTTAAAGGGCAATAAATTTGGGAAGAGCTAATGGGAAAAGCAGCTGGCTGGGAAATGAGGGTGTAAACTGAAGAGGCTTCTTTTGAAGCTGTTTTTACTGAGTTCCTTTTTTACTTTGCAAAGGCCTTTTCTTCTAAAAAGCTATCTATGTTATGTATGAGATTTGTTGGCTTAATGTAATTATGCAAAGGATTTAGAAAGTAAGAAATGTTAGATTCTTATGTTAGATTCTTATTTCATTGATGGTGTGTGAGAATGTGAACCCAAGATCTCTGTTTAGATAGAATTTAATACCATGAGCCACTTGTTTTAGCCATTTGTTTTGGAATGCAGGGGCAACAGGGGCAAAAGGTGATCTGGTAATTAAGGTGCCTTGTCGAGGCAAATGTAAGATATATGGCTAATTGTCTGCCATTTATGGATAGAAGGAAATATAGCTCTTTGTCTCCCATAAAAGGTAATAGGAAATGGGTGTATCTTTTATGATTGGTTCTAGCAAACAGCCAATAGGAATTTCAACCAGGCTGATTGGACAGAGGCAGCCATAGGAGGAGCAAGGGGGCTGGGCTGAGGAAATATAAGTGCTGGCCATCAGGGCTGGAGGGGGGCAGAGCTTTGGTAACCATATACCACTGTGCCTATCATTTATTTGTCTGACAAATAAATTATTATTTTAATTTCTCTATTGCTGCGTTGAATATTTCATTCCAGCTAAGCGTTAACCACGAGCAGGGTGCTACAATTATTTTCCACACATCTGACTGGGTTGCCCCAGCCACACTGGGCAGCTTCCAACATATATAAAAACATGATAAAATTTTAAACATTAAACTTCTCTATCCTAAGCTGCCTTCAGATGTCTTCCAAAGGTTGCCCAGTTACTCATCTCCTTGGCTTGGCGGTCACGTAACTCCATAGCCTGCGACATTTCCCCAATGAAAACAGGGACATCTGAAGCATGGGTGTCCCCTAAATCAATACAAATCAATACAAATCTGAGGTTCTGCCCCTCCCCAACAAAAGCCAGCCACCCCCAACAAAAATCTTGGCTCCGCCCATGGTCCTAAGGAAATGTGGGACATCCCAGGATCCAATTAGAAACTGGGGCAGTTTCTCTAAATCCAGGGCTGTCTCTGGAAAATAGGGGCACTTGGAGGGTCTGGGATCTGTAGCTTTTACCAGAGGCCCAAAGGGTAGGGGTGGCAGGGGGCAGTTGCCCTCCCAATCAAGTAAATAAATTTAAAAATACTTAACTAAAAGTAAAACTACAAAACTAAAACTTAAAGATAACTCTTTTGGGGGAGGTGTTATTGGGTTGTTGTTTTTATTTTAATTATATATATTGTGGTTTTTATGTTAATCTTTTCTGTGAACAGCCCTGAGACCTCCGGGCAGAATATAAATTCAAATTAATAATAATAATAATAATAATCAGAATATTTGAAATTGAAATGTGCTACGCTTACTGAGTGTGCCCAGAAAAACTGCATTGGGAAAAAAGGAGGAATTTGAGAAGGAAGTGCTGACAAGGTTTTCAGCAGATCCAATGAAACTTGCTTTAGATAAAAAGGTTCTTTGCGATTTTGCAAAATATACCCATTAACAGCATGAACGGTACTCCCCGGTGTTAATCTTTTTTATTTAACTTCCTGGTTTTCATTTTTTTTTTATAACAATTTTATTGGGTTTTCTGCTTTTATAGAAACAAAACACACACAAAAAAGAACACAAGACAAAAACATGTATAGAATCAGCAAATCCCCGTTTCATAACCTTGTTCCCGGACTTCCCCCCACCCCCCCTCGTGCATTCCAGTTCCCAAGATTATATCAGCAAGTTGGTATTTCTCCTCTTAACCATCTTATTCATCTTATTACCTCTTTTTGTAATAAAACATTGATTTTCCTAAGTTGGACTTAAGTTCTCTTCCATCGATTTTTCATTTTATCTTAATTAAAAGTCATATTAACCAAACCTACAAGTCTTCAGAGTTTTTAGGAATCTCCTCTTCCCTCCCTCCCATCCCCGGTTTTTGTCCCTTCCCAATAAAAATCCAAAATCAAAATTCTCAGCCTGGGTTCCTCACGTCCGAGGCTTTCAAGTCCCTTTCAGTCCCTCTCCGCCTGTCTTGTTGGTAGTCCTTTATGTCAGTCGTGTCGAGTCTGAAAAAAGTTCTTTCACCATCTTCCTGGTTTTCAAACGGCTGAAGGTTTTGACAGATTTTTCTGAGTGCTTAGGGGAGCCTTCGGATTTCTCCGTTAACAGGGTCAAAAGAAAGCAATTTAAAACCACCGTTGTTTTAAACGTATCGCCTAAAACAGTGGATTCGGAGAGAGAAGGCTTGTCTAATATTGCAGTTTTGCATTGAGGTTTGTTCTCTTTTCCCAATTGGAAAAATGTAAGGACTTGATACAGTTTTGCCATGTGACTATCACAGCTCAAGGCCTAGACAGAAGAAAGGTTGTGCGTGCTTATGGAAATCATCCAGGTACTTTTCATTTTCTCATTTATCTCTGTCTTTTCCCTCATGTTATAGCTAGAAGCTTAATTGAGCAGGATTTCTTGCCCCACAGTTACATGGTGTAGAAAAATTACTGCTCATTTCTATTTGTTGAATGATTTGCCTTTGTAGTGATTTAAATCCCAGTCCATAAACAGCCTTAAAAATATACATGTCTATGAGCTTCAGAACATAGGTAGACCACATTTCCCAAGTGAATGTGCAACCATTTCTGTGATTCCCCCCCCCCCCTATTCCACCTGCATTACAAGCCAGGATCAGGACCAAGGTATGTAGCACTGAGCAAAGGGGAAAGCGGCCTCTTTCTAGCTGAAAAACCAGATACCTCTCGGGGCACCTCTCAGACTTTATTGTCTCTTTGCCAGATGTCAGAGTCAGAACTTGTGAACAAAATCTCTCTGAAGTAGGGTCACCGGAGTTCATAATCTCTGTGAGGCTTCTTGTCAATTTCAAAGGCTTGTGCCTGGGCTGCTCGCCTTTCTTTCTAGGGGCTCATTGTGACAATGAATGGTATACCATGGCAGTTATGGCCACAAAAAACCCTTTTAATTAAGTGAAATCGGAAGCTGCTCTTTAAGTATATGTTCTTGCTTGATCTACTTCTGGGGCAGCTGAAGTTCCGACTGCATCAGAAACTGCACAACTTACAGCCAGCTGGAGCCTACTTGATGTTAGGAACTAAATTAACCTTTTAGGAATAAGACTTGGTCTAAGGGTCACTAGAACGAAGTTCAAGAGATACAGTGCAGAATGAATATCTGAATGTAATGGATTTAAAATCTTTCAATTATTTAAACTTGTTTTCTTTGGAGATCAAAGGTAAAAATCCCCCCAAAAGAGGACATTATGGGGGGCAGGCTTTTGTTAGCGGGGTGCAGAACCTCAGTTAATGGAGTATTTTTAATGCTTTTCAATAATTTTTGAGGATTGTCTATGCCCATGGGTTGGCCAGCCACCTGTCAGAGATGCTTTAGTTGAGAGTTGTGCATTGCAGGGGGTTGGACTAGATGACCCTCGGGGTCCCAAATCTACGACTCTATGCACAGAAAGCATTACATGTCGGTCTGTGCCAAGAAGCAGCAGCAACTAAACCACACAGAGCAAGGCTGCAGACATGCGCTCAGTAAGCAGGCACAGACCCCCGCAACTGACTTAGCCCGGAGTCCCCATGGGCCATACTGTATTTCGGATGCCGTATTTCAAACAGTGAATATCCAGACAGATAAACTATTCTTTTCCCCATAGCTGTTGAACTTTTTTTGCAAAATAAAAATAGAAAAAAGAGTTTTGCCATATATCTGGATTTTGCTGGACATTTAAGCGATTTCCACCCAGATGCTGTTTGCGATGGCTCAATACTGCTATGCCCGGGAATTTCCGGATGTATCTATGTCAACCCTAAGTAATGCAACCAGGGAACAGAACTGGATAAATTACATGAAAATTACAGTTGTGGATTGGAAATAGGCAAATGATTCCATCTCATGAGTTTTTTTGGGCAAAAAAAAACAGGCTTTCCATATTTCGTAAACTTCCTGAATCAAATCTGTTTGAGGTTTGTTTTTGTGTTTTTTTAGGAAGACCACAAAATTGTTCAGCGTTTTTTAAATAGAAAACCCACCAAAATGGTCGAGCTTTCTTTTGGGGAACAATCCCAGATGGTTGGGCTTTTCGGAGGGAGAAACTTCCCTCCAAAATAGTGATCTTTCAATTGGGGAGCTGTTTCCGCTGCTTTCCCCATCGCGTTGCCATACCTCCTGATTTCCCGGCCCAAAGCCCCCCCTTGATCTTCAGAAAACAGGGATTTTCCTGACTCGTGGCAAGCCTATCTTTGGAGTTCTTTCCCGGGGAAATCGGCTTGCCGCGCGCCCGGATTTCCCCGGACCCCTGCTACTAGAGACAGCGGTGCCGTGTCCGGGACATCCCGGACGCGTGGCAGCGCCCGGCGAGAGGGGCGTCGCCTTCCCTAGCGTCACCTGCGGGGACGAGGAAGCTCCTGTTGCTCGCCTCGCCGCCGATTGGACGCGGCTCCGCCTGGTCCGTGGGCGGGGTGCCCTGCCGGCCAATCGCCGCCGTCGGAATGTGTTTTGGGGGCGTGGCAGATCCTCTCCCCCTCCGCAGCCTCCTGGCCGGCGCGCAGATGGCTCTGGGCGGCGTGATGCTGCGGACGACGCTCCGCCTCTGCACTCTGTCGCGACGCGTCCGCTCGGCCTCCGCCGCTTCCAGCGCCTCCATGTCGACGCTGCTGATCAGCCAAGGCCGCTACTCGTGGCTCCAGGAGCTGGGGCTTCGCGAGGAGAACGAGGGCGTCTACAATGGCTCCTGGGGAGGCCGAGGAGAGGTAGGCAGCCGCGGGAGGGAGCAAGCCTGAAAGTCACCGCAGCCAAATTTGGAGTCCAATCCGGATTTGCAGTTCTCCATGTGCTCCCGAGCATGGACATCTGACTTTAGCAGGGTTTCCCGAAACAGCTTTATTCCTGTTATTATTTTCATTTATGTACATTGCAACCAGCAGTTCCGGATTTACTTATAAACTAAACAAGCTATAGCTTAGGGCCCCACTCTCTTGGGGGCCCCCCAAAAAATTAAATGAAAAATAATAATAATGTACTTCTTAATTGTATTTCAGTTCAAATACATATTTTATGTGCAAGTGGCTTTAGATGCCTATTAGGTCCATAAATTACCATATAGCATATATTCAACACAAAAAGCAGCAAGAATTTGTTGTTGACAAAGGTCAGCTGGACATATAAAGGGCCCCATTACCTTCAGTAGCTTGGGGTCTCATCAAACCTAAATCCGGCCCTGATTGCAACAATGATTTAGCCATAATTGTAACATTTTCACATAATTGAAACATTTTCATGCTAAAATGAGTGTAAAATTATTGAAATGTATAAAATTGAAAATCACGATTTAAAAAAATCCTCTCTTCTCATATCTAATAAATGTTTTCAAAACTGCAGGTTTTTACGATGACCCTGCCAACGTCTTGATCTGTTTGCAGCTTATTATTTAAACCTTTAAAAATAATTTTCATTTATATACATTGCAACAATTATTTAGCTATAATTGTAACATTTTTACTTTCGACTCCCTTCCCCCTCTTTCTGCAGTCCCTTGCGTTTATTTTCATCCTTTCCTGCATGCTCCAAATTGTCTTATTCTTTTAATCCTCTCTTCTCATATCTATCTTATATATGTTTTCAAAACTGCAGGTTTTTACGATAATCCTGCCAATGTCTTGATCTGTTTGCAGCTCCCTCTCTATACTACAGTTCCCATCATCCCTAACCTCTGGTCCTACTAGCTTGGCATGATGGGAGTTGTAGTCATCAAAAAGCAGCCGACTTTGGGAAACCCCGCTTTAGACGAAAGCTGAAAAGACAGTGAAGATTAGCTGGAAGCGAAATTCAGTGATTTATTGTGGTTAATTAACATGGGAGCGTTGGTAGCAAGTTAGCCCACGCTGGGGCATGTCTAACATGCCCCTGCGGTGCGATTTATATTTGAAAAAGCCTTCATCCCGAGGCAGCACAATGGTGCCACAATTGCATTTCCCGATAAATTGCAATTTCTGAAGTTCTGCGATGGCCAAGTCCGGCTACAACCAGGTTGCTTTCGGAAGTCGAAATGTCCTCAGGTTTATGATGTGGGATTTGTGCCCGTTCATATTCTGTGGGAAAGGAGCCTGCCTTTTAATGTGTAACCTTTCAGTGGTTTTGAAACACGCTTGATTTTGTCTATCTTTTAACAAATACGTTGCCCTTTACCAGTTGCCACAGTCCGTTTCCTGGCCGGAATCGGCAGGAGAAAGGGACACGTTAATCATTCATATTGTTGGGCTGAGAAAATGTTTGTCCTTTGGCTGTGCTCCTACCTTTGGGCCTTCTCTTTCTGGAGATATTTGGGTACCCTACTTGGGGGACTCCCAAAGGCATCTAGCCGGGCCACTGTAGGTGGAAGCTGGTTGAGAGGGAAGAATTCCAGACCTAGTAGGCCTTCCTTAGTTATTTATCATGCATATGTATAGCCCGCTCTTTAATAATACCAAGATACTATAATATCCAGAATATCAAACCATAAGAACAGCAAGAGCTGTTCGACAGTGGGATTTGCTGCCAAGGAGTGTGGTGGAGTCTCCTTCTTTGGAGGTCTTTAAGCAGAGGCTTGACAACCATATGTCAGGAGTGCTCTGATGGTGTTTCCTGCTTGGCAGGGGGTTGGACTCGATGGCCCTTGTGGTCTCTTCCAACTCTATGATTCTAAGAATCATAGAATCATAGATTCCTACTCTTGGGCAGAGTAAGAACTGCTTCTGGATCACCAAGCAAGAAAAAAATCTATAATTGGCTGCTAACTCTTGTGTACATCTGCATAATAATAATAATAATTTATATCCCACCCATCTGACTGGGTGGGCAGCTCCCAACAGAATATTAAAAATACAATAAAATATCAGACATTAAAAACTTCCCTAAACAGGGCTGCCTTCAAATGTCTTCTAAAAGTTGTGTAATTCTTGAAATCCAAAGGGCGGGCACCGCTATAGTGGTACCTCAGGTTACATACACTTCAGGTTACATATGCTTCAGGTTACAGACTCTGCTAACCCAGAAATAGTGCTTCAGGTTAAGAACTTTGCTTCAGGATGAGAACAGAAATTGTGCAGCAGTGGCAGCAGGAGGCCCCATTAGCTAAAGTGGTGCTTCAGGTTAAGAACAGTTTCAGGTTAAGAACGGACCTCCAGAACGAATTAAGTTCTTAACCCGAGGTACCACTGTACTTAGAAGTGAATCCCATTGAATTCGGCCTTAAATGCACTCGGGAGAAGAAATATAATTGCCTCAATCTAGGGACGGGCAGCAGAAGGCTGCATGTTTTGTGCGATGGTCCCATCTCTCCCCAGAGCAAGGCCGCTTCATAGGAATCCAAACTCAGGATCTGTGTATCCTCATGGGTTTTCCCCACAACGGTACTGCTCAGTGTGCCCAAAGCCTGCTTTGGTGTGCAGATTGTGGTTCTCGTTCCGCTGCAGATCAGGGTGAGTGTATTCAGATTGAGATATAGGACCATCCATACTATGTCCTTTCCCGATGTAGAAGTGACTCTTGAACCTTAATCCTTAAAGCTAGAGAAGAAGCTATGTTCTTGGTGACTAAAGAGGATTGGCACATCTTTCTCTCTTTAGGTCGTGACGACATACTGCCCTGCAAACAATCAGCCAATTGCCAGAGTTCGTCAGGTAAGGTTCTTTCTTTCTCTCTTTGATCAAGTCTATAGATAAATGCTACACTGGAAATTTTTGCAATACTCTTCGAATAGCCAAAGGCTAGGTTTGGAATGTCAATAGAGCTAATTGGGGAGGGGCTGTGGAAAAGTAGCTGAGAGCAGTGGAAGATGGAAATTTTATGGTTGTACGCTCCCTTCCTCTGCTGGATTTAAATCACATGTGTTGAAATGGTGGTTGCGACACAGAAATGGGTTCGTGGTATATTTCCTCTTTTATTCTACCACTTCAGGCAAACTATTTCCAAAGGTTCTGAAGCTTTTTATGTTTAAATAGCACCACCTTCTTCCATAGAATTAGAATTTGCTGGTTGGGTACATTCTTTTTCCATTGGTGTTTTCTACAAGGGTCAAAAAATTAAAAACATTGTGACTCTTGTTTATTTAAAAAAAAATATTGTTACAGGCCAGTATCGAAGACTATGAAGAAACACTAAAGAAAGCTAAAGAAGCCTGGAAAGTATGGGCAGAGGTAAGTTTGAATTCCTTAATATTTTTCTGAAATACAGGCAGCTTCCCGTTTACACAGGGGTTATGTTCAGAAGCACCTTGCAGGTCGGTGAAATCGTGTGTAATTGAAACCCATTGAAAAAGCCTGCAAAAGATGACCCCCGTTCTGCCCCTTTAGTGTCATTTCAATGTTGTCTTAGTAATAATAATAATAATAATAATAATAATAATTTATTTATACCCCACCCATCTGGCTGGGTTTCCCCAGCCACCCTGGGTGGCTTCCAACAGAATATTAAAAACACGATAAAACATCAGACATTAAAAACGTCCCTAAACAGGGCCTTCAGGTGTCTTCTAAAAGTCAGATAGTTGTTTATTTCCTTGACATCTGATGGGAGGGCATTCCACAGGGCGGGTGCCACTACCAAGAAGGCCCTCTGCCTGGTTTCCTGATGTTTCCAAGTCACTTCTGGGTTCAGCACGATGCGCAGTTGTGCATGCATTGAATGCGCATAAATGGGGTACATTCTTTGATGAGCCACAGACTCATTAAACTCATTTTTATTAAGCAACACCGTTAGATTCTGATCCGCTTGCCTTAATTTGTGTGAATCCTCTTTCTGATACTTTACGACTTGTGCTACCACTGTAAGCAGTTGCTATTAGAGTTGTGCTTTACAAGTGGCAGTTTGTTTGGTAGATCTGTGACTTCATTAGTACTAGAAAACTAAACGGCAACACCAAGATTTCAAAGATGCGGGTCATAGAAAGGTAAGCCACAACTTTTGAAGAACTAAAGATGCACTTTGGCACACTTGCATTTTTGAAAAACATCTGCATCTCTTGACAGATTTATTTGAATTGTCTTATGAATTCTCACACACACACACACAATGGGAAGTGTCCAGAAGCATCTGTAGCTTTCGAAATACCAAATAAATTTTTCTTCTGATTTCCCTGGATTCAGACAAGTTGTGTCACTCAAGAAATCGTCCACGATATATTTTTTTTAACTGATAGGATAAGTTACCTTGATACTTTCAATGGTGTTAATAGAGATTGCCTCATCTGGATGCACATTATTTAAATGTATGGTTTTGGACATAGTCCACAGTGTTTCGTAAGACTGGGCTTAAACCCGTTTTTCTCTTCTTTGTCTAGGTTCCTGCACCCAAACGAGGAGAAATTGTGAGACAGATTGGTGATGCCCTGAGAAAGAAAATCAATGTTTTGGGAAATCTGGTACGGTTTGCTGCTGCGACAGTAATCGCTCTGGCTGAAAGTTTTGGAACCATGTCTAAAATATAGCCACGTCTGTAAAATAAGAAATGATACAGTTTCGCTTGTGCGAATACTGTGGGGTTGCAAACTCCGACAATCGGCAACTGAGCTTGCAAAGTGCAGAGCTCTGCTTTGCCCTCGCAATTCGATTCCAAACTGCGTGGGCCAAAATGGACCACCCGGTGCCATTTTGACAGCAGGTGATCGACTGCCTGCCTGTCAGACTTTGACACATGGGAACTGAGGGGATGGGGATCCAGCCCACTGGTTGGTGCCGTTCCTTGCCTCTGATTTATATAGCGGTTAGTAGAATATTTCCTATTCAGTGATTGAACCAACACACTTCATTAATACCGTCAGGTTTCTTTGGAGATGGGGAAGATCTCTGCTGAGAGTGTTGGCGAAGTCCAAGAATATGTAGATGTCTGCGACTATGCAGTTGGCTTATCCCGGATGATTGGTGGACCTGTCTTGCCTTCGGAAAGTAAGCCTCTATCTTTCCCTTTTTTCTTTCTGAATACATAGGTAAAGGTAAAGGGACCCCTGACCATTAGGTCCAGTCGTGGCTGACTCTGGGGTTGCAGCGCTCATCTCGCTTTATTGGCCGAGGGAGCTGGCGTACAGCTTCCGGGTCATGTGGCCAGCATGACTAAGGTGAACCACAGCAGCGCACGGAAACGCCGTTTACCTTCCCGCTGGAGCAGTACCTATTTATCTACTTGCACTTTGACGTGCTTTCGAACTGCTAGGTTGGCAGGAGCAGGGACCCAGCAACGGGAGCTCACCCCGTCGCGGGGATTCGAACCGCTAACCTTCTGATCTGCAAGTCCTAGGCTCTGTGGTTTAATCCACAGCGCCACCCAAGTCCTTCTCTGAATACATACTGGATGCTATTAAGTAACCCAGGGCAGGAAAATCTCAGCACTGTCAACTTTGTGGCTGCATTTCACGGCTGTTGTCTTGAGCGTGTTGGCCCAGTGAAGAAAATTTGTATTTTCTTGTACAGTGGTACTTCAGGTTAAGTACTTAATTCGTTCTGGAGGTCCGTTCTTAACCTGAAACTGTTCTTAACCTGAAGCACCACTGCCGCCGCGCTGCCGGAGCACGATTTCTGTTCTCATCCTGAAGCAAAGTTCTTAACCTGAGGTACTATTTTTGGGTTAGTGGAGTGTAACCTGAAGCGTATGTAACCTGAAACGTATGTAACCCGAGGTACCACTGTATTTTCCTCCAAGGAGCAGGCAGAGCGATGCCTTCATTGGTTCCAGTGGAATAAATTATCATCTCTGTGGATCACCTTGTATAACTCCTCAAAATGCACAAATAAATGGGATGCAAGTGTGAGATTCTCCTTGCCAAACCTTGCTTCCCCCTCAGAATACAAAACTAGGAAGAAATAAGCTCTTCTGGCAGGATTGCAGCCTTGAGATAACAACAGATATAACTTTCATTGCATGGCTAACAGTTGGGTGTGGACTTTTCAATTACTCTGCTAGGAGCGCTCCAATTTTCAGTGAGCTGAGGAGAGAGGTTTAACCCTTCTCTTTCGTTGGGAGAATGAAGGATCACACCTCCACTTCCCCATGTACTGTGGTCCTAGTGAAAATCCATGCAGCTGGCATTATTATTTTTTTCAAGTAGCACAGGTAAATAGGTTGAAATGGATGTATTGAATAGTATATGTGAAATATGTGGCATTTATGGGTAACACTGGAAACCATGGAAGGGAAGTCCACGGGTGAAGAAATTTATGGGTTTTTTTTTGTTTTTGTGAAAAATCAATAAATAAGATTGTGGCATTTGCCTCCTATGTGAGTCATAAGGAAAGGGTTAAATGAGTGTGATGTGATTGGCCAGAGAGAAACTGATAGGAGGAGTTAGAGTGAGAGTCGGAGTGTGTGGAAGTCAGTTGAGAGTTGAAGAAGGAAGAGGGAGGATAAGTCTGTGGGTTGGTCGAGTTGTGTGGTGAGAGAGTGAGAGGAACTGTTAGGTGGAGTCAGATAGATAGTTGGAATAATCAGTTTGAACGCATAGGACAGTTAAGGAACTAAGATTAAGAAACTGCTAAGAAAAATTAACTGAAACCATAAGCTTGTTCATGCCTATAAATAAACTTGATTATTTGTTAATGTTAACAACTGTCTGGACTCTGTGAGTACCCGTGAGAAATGGGTTGGTGGCAGCGAAGAAAGCAATTACAGTGGTGGCACAGGGTCAATAGACCGTCAAACGTCCGGGGGCCCTGTGTGATCGCCACAAACATTTACAAAAAATATGATTTTTTTTCAAGCAGGTAGCCATATACAGTTAAAGTACTTTTATATCTTAAAAAAGAGATCTTATTTCAGATTATATAAAAGATGCCTGTAAGCACTTTTTGGCTCAAAAAGTAACGAAATCGTCCAGTAACTGGTGACCTCTTAACTTACAACAGGTGTTGCACCTTTTGAGTATATTTCATGGCTGTTGGAAAGCTGTACACCATGCTTGAAAAGACCACTAAATTGGGAGCAACCGTTGAATTAGGCACCCGTCGTGCTGGTTTGCGCTCAGGGCTGAAACCTGGTTGAATGCACTCAAACCATGGTTTTTGAGGCTGGCTTGTTAAGCTAAGCAGAGTCTGTTGAACCAGCGCCTATGTTTTGAACACAGCAATAAGCTCGAGATTATTTTAAAAGCGGAACTTTACCAAGTCAGTCGTCCTCTGAAGTATGCTGGAGGAGAAAGGGAGGGAGCCCGACTTCACTCAAGGTGGTTTTGGCCTTATCCGCTTGTGGAGCTCATCCTATGCAAACAGAGCTATTTTGTGCTTTGATGCGAAGGGCTCTGCCGTCCGATTATTTACTAAAATAAGCTCGGTGCCTAAAAAAACTATCACAATAAGCTTTACGACACAGTGTGCTTGTGGGGATGGAATTTGGCTAATTCTTGTGTACACTGAGTTCCTTGGATAACGAGAAGGATAAATAGAATAAATGAAATCCTATGCTCATCAAATGTCCTCTGCTTGGCCTTTTTATTTGCAGGGCCTGGGCATGCCTTAATAGAACAATGGAATCCTTTGGGATTAGTAGGAATCATCACAGCTTTCAACTTTCCTGTAGCAGTTTATGGCTGGAACAACGCAATTGCAATGGTCTGTGGCAACGTTTGCCTCTGGTAAGTCGATCACTCCTCCTTTATGGTGACGGTTTTAACTGGTGGCCTCTAATTTAACAACGGGTGCTGCGCCGTTTGAGTATATTTCGTGGTTGTTGGAAAGCTGTGCACCGCAGATGCAAAAACTGGGCGTTGATGGATTCCAACTCCCATGAGCTCAGTCAGCACGGCCAAAGGTTGAGGATTATGGGAGTTGTTGTCTAGCAACTGGCCACCTCATGAGAAGACAAGACCCTGATGTTGGGAAAGATGGCGGGCACAAGTAGAAGGGGACGACAGAGGACGAGATGGTTGGATAGTGTTCTCGAAGCTACGAACATGAGTTTGACCAAACTGCGGGAGGCAGTGGAAGACAGGAGTGCCTGGCATGTTCTGGTCCATGGGGTCACGAAGAGTCAGACACGACTAAACAACAACAACAAAAACGTCTGAATGGCCACAAGTTCCCCGACCTAAGTATTTATTCCCTACACAACAGTTCTCTGGAATGTAGTTAAAGCAGCGACTGTTTCCATTTCTTTATTGAATCTCTGTTCAGCAGCTAAGATAGTCACCTAGAACTACTGAGTCATACTTTTACAATGGAAAGATTATGATGCTTATTTGGTTAGGTACCCTGGCTATTGGACACTTGGGACCAAGTGAAGATGCCGGACATCTCCACCCTCTGCCTGGGGATCATTAGATCTGGACTGTTCTCACACACTAGCAACACATTCTGTAGAATTCTGTTATATTTTATCTGCACAATCGGAATGAATTTCAGAAACCAAAATGCTTTTTCTGTGCAGCCTGAGCAGGAGCAGTGAATGAGATTATAGTTAATTGTTCTAGCTTATTTTAACTTATCCCACCTCACTGCTGTGCTCGCAGTTGGGAAGAATTTTCTTGTATTATGAATGGTCCGTGTCGCTGCTAAGAAAGAGGTCGGAACAGACCAATATATAGTTGGACTGTCCCTGGATCAAGTGACTTTTTTCCTTTAAGTTTGGATTTGATATCCCGCCTTTCACTCCCTTTAAGGAGTCTCAAAGCGGCTAACATTCTCCTTTCCCTTCCTCCCCCACAACAAACACTCTGTGAGGTGAGTGGGGCTGAGAGACTTCAAAGAAGTATGACTGGCCCAAGGTCACCCAGCAGCTGCATGTGGAGGAGCGGAGACGCGAACCCGGTTACCCAGATTACGTGACTACCGCTCTTAACCACTACACCACACTGGCTCTCACACAAGTTCTTGAAGTTCTTAAACTAGCTGAAGGTTGTCATCTGAACCAGCCAGATGCTTAACTGAGAATCAATCACAGTCAGTCCATCGTTTGAAAAACAAGACTTTAGAGTCATCTTGCCCTGAAATGGCAACAAGCCATTCCATTTTGGCGACTGTAACCTTGGTTTAAGGAGACATTTGGCATGTAGCTTATACATCTTGAGTTTCTAACTCTGTACCCAAGTTTTAAGTAACCAAACATTGGTGGCCTGTTACTTCAAAGTTGCATGTTGTTTGGAGTTTTCTCATTTTAGCACCTGTTAAAATGAAAAGATGAAAACCTGGTAATCTACTGATTTAGGTAATTTTAGGTGTTCTGATGTAGCAGTTTCTTAAAATATCATGCAATGTTCATTTTAAAATAAGCAGTTGGGAAGAATAATCTTTCCTGGTTTGTTTCCCTCCAAAGGAAAGGTGCTCCCACAACGTCGCTCGTTAGTGTCGCTGTTACAAAGTGAGTTTTCACTTATCTTTGTTGCTAGAAATTCTGTGCTTCCTTTCTGTCTCCTGTTCATTCTTCTGTATTGTTTTAAGAAGCTGGCTGAGTGCCGCCTTCGCTGCAGCTTGCATTCTGGGCTTCTCTGGTAGCGTCTGAAATGAGAGGTCTATGTCAACCTCCCTACTTTGGTTTCATTAGGGAGCGATGCGGATAATAATAATAATAATAATTTATTATTTATACCCCACCCATCTGGCTGGGTTTCCCCAGCCACCCTGGGTGGCTTCCAACAGAATATTAAAAACATGATAAAACATCAAACATTAAAAACTTCCCGAAACAGGGCTGCCTTCAGATGTCTTCTAAAAGTCAGAGAGTTGTTTATTTCCTTGACATCTGACGGGAGGGCGTTCCACAGGGCGGGTGCCACTACTGAGAAGGCCCTCTGCCTGGTGCCCTGTAACTTCACTTCTCACGGTGAAGAAACTGCCAGAAGGCCCTGGCAGCTGGATCTCAGTGTCCAGGCATAATGATGGGGGTGGAGACGCTCCTTCAGGTCTACTGGGCCGAGGCCATTTAGGGCTTTAAAGGTCGGGACCAACACTTTGAATTGTGCTCGGAAATTTACTGGGAGCCAATGCATGTCTCTCAGGACTGGTGTTATATGGTCCCGGCGGGCACTGCAAGGTCATGTATGAGCTGCCTCTTCTCCACATAGTTCCACATTTTGGGTGGTTTCTACGAATCCTCCAGAACAGATTTAGGGGGTGAATGTTGGGGAAGGAGTGGAAAGTCCTGTTGACCAAGCCGAAGTTGTTCTGTGCATGCTTTCAGCTAGCTCTCCGTTGAATACGACCTTTTCGTCTGTGCGTTTGGCAAGGTGATGAAAAGTCGAGTCTCACTATGTCCTGCACATGTAATCCTTTTGCCAAGGAACCATCAGGACATCTAATGAATCTTCTTTCTTTGTTTCCTAGAATAGTTGCCCAGGTTCTGGAGGACAACAAATTGCCTGGTGCTATCTGCTCTCTGGTCTGTGGTGGGGCAGATATTGGGTAGGTGCAACATTTGGTATTTTTGTGCACAATTTGGGAAGATAGTCTGGTGGATCTTGATTAATCTCTTAACGGTCCTTTTAATCTACAGCTGCAAATGTTTCCTACTCTATTGACTCATTGCATCAGAACAACAACGAGGCTTCGCTTAAACTGTGATCTCCTTACTAAAGGAAAACCCACCCCCTCAGTAGACCTAGATTTGACATGACAACGCCGTCCCCTGCATATCTGCTTGGAAGTAAATTCTGCTGGGTATGGCGGGGCTCACTCCAGATAAAGGATTGCATTGTGCACTCACTACCACAAATATGATGGCTAGAAATGTCAAATTCACTAGGAGGTTGAATTTACAGTAAGAAACCACACCTGTCCCTGATCAGTCATTCTAAAAGCCATTCTGAACCTTCCTCAAGGTTCAATTTTGCACACTTAAAAGAAATAGCTGTCTTGTGGCAACTTTGGTGTGTTCTCCCTCCAAATACAAAAACTTTCAAATATACGTGCTCCGTAAGCTTTGAGTGGCAGAGCGGAACGCTAAAGCGGTGGTTTCCAAATTTTTCCCCTTGGGCCACTTGAAAATCGCTGGTGGTCTTGGTGGACCACTCAATGATCTTTCTTGGTGGACCACTTTATGATCTTTCTGCAATTACAATAACTTTGGGCTGGATTTGCGCATGAATTTTAATTGTGTTTTACGGCTGATATTTCTTTCGATTTGTTGTTATTGCCGTTTGCATTCCATAGACTTCTGATTGTGATGCGATCAAATACAGTGTAGGAAACAAAAGAAGCAATGGATTTGGAAAAATGAATGCACACATGGCATGGGACGGCAGAAGGAAGCTTGTTCATTCTGTTAAAAATACAGACTTTCCGTTAGACAAATAGCGAAGTTGATGGCTGAGGAGTGTCACAAGAATTATATATTTGATTGGCACAAATGCAACGTGTTTTGAGAGTGAAGGGCAGGGCTCCCCCTTCCTCCCACCCTAACATACTTTCTCATTCTACCTGTTTCCCACTGACTAAGAATCTTCCTCTGTCCTCTGCAGCAAAGCGATGGCAAAGGATGAAAGAGTGGATCTCTTGTCCTTCACTGGCAGCACCAATGTGGGCAAGCAGGTAGCGATGGCGGTTCAGGAGAGATTTGGTAAGTGGCGTATCGTGATCCAGTATCTCTTACAATTTTCCATGTTGTCAACTGCTCCGTGTTCTTCAGGTGAAGGGCAGTACACAAATTCAATTAATAATAATAATAATAATAATAATAATAATAATAATGCAAGTGGAAAGAGTGCTGGCTTTGGTCCAGCACAACTCTTCCTATGTTCTTACAAGAAGCATCATGCACAAGCCCTTTGCATGCACATAGAGGAATTCTGAATTGTGGCCTGCCTCAAGGTTTTTTTTTCAGCTTACAGAAAAAGCTGCTTTTTAAAAAAACAACAACTTTGACTCCCTTCTTCTTTTGTGAGCCTCTTTATTTATTTAGTCCATAAATTTTACACACTGCTTGGTTGTTGTTTTTTTATATAAAAAAAATACTCGCTCAAAGATGCAAAGTCATTATGACAACTGGGCGTGAGGAGGGCATATTCCTAGCTAGGAATTGTGGGTAATGTTCACATGGCTTACTGCTTTTTTTTATTTCAATAGGACGGTCTCTGTTGGAGCTTGGTGGAAACAACGCTATTATAGGTAATTAATATTTTCATTAAAAGTTAAAGCCGATCTCTGGCTGAGTGAATGCGCATGGCCAATGGCTTTGCTGCAGGTTCTTAGGATTTTCTTGGAAATTTGAGTCCACATGCTTTCATGATGAGCTGCTGGTGTTTGCATTTAAGAGGGTGCTCAATATCTGTTCTGAAGTGGCACTTAATAGCCTTTTCTTTCAACCTCACTCCACCAAATGAAGGTCTTTTGCTTCATTTGTTACTTGCCACGTTCCTGCCCAAAATTCCGCAGAGTCCTCTTTGGCCTCCTAATGCCAACGAATAAGATTCCAGAGAAAAAACTGGGGTGCCCTTGTTTTTCTTGAGCATAAAGTTGGGGGCCAGATGGCACCTCCAATTGCTTTGCGGTGTTTGCTACAGTTCCAGATCAACAGTGGGAGCAGAACGGTTGCAGAGCTGTTATATGTGGATTGGAGTTGCAGTTTAGCAAAATCGAGAGGGCCAGAAGTTCCCTATAGAAGACGTTTTCTTTATCTTTTTTGTGCAGTGTGTGTTTTGCACTACCCAGTTATACTTCACTGTGTCTCCCCAGATCTGCAGGGAACTGGGTGATTCTCCTTGATTCAAAACAAAATGGGGTTTTCAGCTGTTACTCAGAGTAAAAAATTAGAGTTGAAATCAGTGGATTGAACTTAGTTATGTTTGATGATTATAACTACTACAAGTTTTTTGAGGGTTTTTTGGGACGCGGGTGGCACTGTGGGTTAAACCACAGAGCCTAGGAATTGCCGATCAGAAGGTCGGCGGTTCGAATCCCCGCGACGAGGAGAGCTCCCGTTGCTCGGTTTCTGCTCCTGCCAACCTAGCAGTTTGAAAGCACATCTAAATGCAAGCAGATAAATAGGTACCGCTCTGGCGGGAAGGTAAACGCCGTTTCCGTGCGCTCCTCTGGTTCGCCAGAAGCGGCTTAGTCATGCTGGCCACATGACCCGGAAGCTGTACGCCAGCTCCCTTGGCCAACATAGCGAGATGAGTGCCGCAACCCCAGAGTCGGCCACGACTGGACCTAATGGTCAGGGGTCCCTTTACCTTTACAAGTTTTTTTATGTGTGTGGCTGTTGGCAATTGTACTTTGTGGCCTTTCAGGTGTTTTGCTACTGCCTATAAAGGCCATTGAATTCTTTCAGAATCAAAACCTGCTTCTCTCTTCCCTAATGCTTTCTTTTTTGAAATCATTTTTATTTGGTTTTGCAAGTACAAAGTTGTAAAAATCCAAATATATATCCACATACAGAGATTCCTCCGAATCTCGGGTCTTCCCTTCACGGGGTCCCATTTTGAACATTTACAACCGCATATTCTTCCATACTCTTAACTTTTATATCAGTCCATCTTGTCCGTGATATTTATTACACTACAAGTGAAATCAAAATCCTTAATCCTAAACAACTTATAAAAATTTTCCCATTCTTTTATAAAGCTTTTGTCCTCTTGGGTTCTGAGTTTTCCAGGCATCTTTGCCATCGCTCTTCCCTCACGCTTCTTGACTGACTGCTCAGACTGTCAGTGAGAGTCTCCTCCGTCTCCCCATTTGCATCTGAATTCTCCCCTTTCTGTATCTTCTCAATGCCTTGCAGTCTTCGACGATGCCGACCTTCAGCTGGTCATTCCGTCGGCCCTCTTTGCGGCTGTGGGGACAGCAGGCCAGAGATGCACAACTGCCAGAAGGCTGGTAAGAAGCGCTGGGATTTCCGTGTCTTCTCCAAACGCCTGTTTGGATGGTAGTCGGACCCCTGCAGTGGCGTTAGGAACAGTGGTGGCTTGTGCCCAGGGCCGGATTTAGGTTTGATGAGGCCCTAAGCTACTAAAGGTAATGGGGCCCTTTATATGTTCAGCTGCCCTTTGTCAACAACAAATTGTTGCTTTTTTGTGTTGAATATATGCTATATGGCAATTTATGGACCTAATAGGTATCCAAAGCCATTTGCACTTAACAAAATACAGTGGTACCTCTGGTTACAAACTTAATTCGTTCCGTAGGTCCGTTCTTAACCTGAAACCGTTCTTAACCTGAGGTACCACTTTAGCTAATGGGGCCTCCCGCTGCTGGCACACAATTTGTGTTCTCATCCTGAGGTAAAGTTCTTAACCTGAGGTACTACTTCTGGGTTAGTGGAGTCTGGAACCCGAGGTGTTTGTAACCCAAGGTGTTTGTAACCCGAGGTACCACTATATGTATTTTAATATTAGATAACAGGTACAACAGCTTGACCTACATTCAACTGTGCTGCGCTGCGGTCTGCAGCTGCATGCTACATGTTGCCATACAGCCAGTCTATGCAGAATGTAGGCACCCTATATATAGAAATGAACAAACCAGTGATAGTTTAGGGACCAGACGGGGCCCATTACTTCCATCATAGGAGCCTACACCACACAAAACACAGTTGCTGTATGTAGGTTTTATTTTATTTGTTTTTTTATCTTATATTTTGGAAATGTACATCCAGGTTTTTTTCCCTTTAATTTTTTTGGGCCCCCCAAGAGAGTGGGACCCTAAGTTACAGCTTGTTTATACATAATTCTGGCACTGCTTGTGCCCGTTGTGGCTGGTAGGATGGCAGGCCAACGGCTTGGTGGAGCCAGAGCCCAACAGTAGACAGAGCCTGGTAGTTATCGCTTTGACTCCCTCTTGGCCGTCCTCCTTGCTGGAATTGTGCAAAGGGCGACACTGCCACTAAGAAGCGAGTAAAGTCTGGCTGACAACGGACTGAGCTTGGTTTGTCCTAAGGCAGGCAAAGGCAAACTTGGCCCTCCAGATGTTTTTTGGGACTACAACTCCCATCATCCCTAGCTAACAGGACCAGTGGTCAGGGATGATGGGAGTTGTAGTTCCAAAACATCTGGAGGGCCAAGTTTGCCTTTGCCTATCCTAAGGGACCAGCCTCCACCGATTTAGGAGGGCACTCTTGTGTTTGTGCGTGCCTGTCACTCCCCTTCTCCTGCCTGAGCAACACAATATCTGTCCAGTTCCAGGAAGGAGTTGTTGTCTGAGTGCATCAGCAGTTTTAAGCACTGCTCATTCTATAACGGTCTGACTGCCCGTAGAAACTTTTCAATGAATCATTACATAACTATTAGGTATATTCCTGTTGCATTATTATGTAATTTGTGTGAAAATACTCCACATCATAATGATGGAATGCTCTGTTGTCGTTCGTGTATGCCTTCCATCATTAAAACAACAACAACAACAACTTATTTATTTATACAGTGGTACCTCGGGTTACATACACTTCAGGTTACAGACTCCGCTAACCCAGAAATAGTACCTCAGGTTAAGAACTTTGCTTCAGGATGAGAAAAGAAATTGTGCTCTGGCGGCGCGGCGGCAGCAGGAGGTCCCATTAGCTAAAGTGGTGCTTTCAGGTTAAGAACAGTTTCAGGATAAGAACGGACCTCCAGAAAGAATTAAGTTCTTAACCCGAGGTACCACTGTACTCTGCCCACCTGGCTGGGTTTCCCCCGCCACTCTGGGCAGCTCCCAACAGAATATTAAAAACATGATAAAACATCAAATATTTAAAACTTCCCTAAACAGGGCTGCCTTTAGATGTCTTCTAAAAGTCACATAGCTGTTTACAGTGGTGCCCCGCAAGACGAATGCCTCGCAAGATGGAAAACCCGCTAGACGAAAGGGTTTTCCGTTTTTGAGTTGCTTCGCAAAACGATTTTCCCTATGGGCTTGCTTCGCAAGACGAAACATCTTGCTAGTCTTGAGATTTCCCCCCCCCGCTCCCCCCTTTTTCTAAGCCGCTAAGCCGCTAATAGCCTTTTAGCAGCTAAGCCGCTAAGCCTTTAATAGCCGCTAATCCGCTAATAGCGCTAATCCGCTTAGCCGCTAATAGGGTTGCTTCGCAAGACGAAAAAACCGCTAGACGAAGAGAATCGCGGAACGGATTCTTTTTGTCTTGCGAGGCACCACTGTATTTCCTTGACATCTAATGGGAGGGCATTCCACAGGGTGGGCGCCACTACCGAGAAGGCCCTTTAGCAAAGAATGGAACCAGAAGAACTCTGGATAATTCCGAAGCGATTATCTTTCTTTAAATTTGTCTCCAGCACAGTTTGGATTGGTGCAGTTCTGTAAAAATGATACATATTTTTTTTCAATTTTCAAGCATTGGATAAATTTTGTTTGCCAAATGAGCCATGCTTAGCCAACAGATCACAGGCTTCATAGCAGCCTGGGGGAAATCCCAAATGTTAATATTCTTTTTTTTTTATTCCAAAACCATTAGTTCTAAACTCAAAGGGGGATTTTTGTACAAGATTTCCCTCCTTCCCCCCTGACCTGTCTTCCAAATCTCCTATGGAGGGTCCTTAAGCTTTTCAAGGTGTGTTTCGGGATGTTGGAGTTGCAGGAGGAGAAAGGAAAGACCCGTTCTATTAATGGCTGTCTGCTTGTGCGTGATGTTTGATGTCTCCCATTATTACTGCTCGCTTTTGAAATAAGGTTATTTAAATTCTGATCAGATCTCCCCAGTTCACAATGAATAGGAAAATACAGTTCCGAATTGCAGGCTTATGCAAATGAATATAACCCAATAGGTGAAGCAGAAATGTTGGCACATCTCATTTAAGTCAGCAGTTACTTAAAACCTCATGGGTTTTAGAGAGATTTAGGAGAAGTACCTAGCTTTCTCTTGATTGTGCACAGCGAAATAATTCCACGTTTTTCCCTTAAAGACCAAAATGTGCACTGGATTCTAAGTCTTTGATTAAATGTTTTAACTCAAAGCGCTATTATTTGGCTTTAGGCAGACCGAAGATCTTCAAATTCTGTTTTATGGTTTGCCAGACCAATTGCTGCATAAAGAAGAGCCCTTTGTATGCAAAAGTAACTGGATTCTAGAGCCTTTCGCTACTGCTGTTTGAATATGTTGGGCTTTGTTAATTTCCGCTTTAAACGTTTTGGCAATGTTACCCTGAGATGGTGGAAGAATTTGCCAGCTCTCAAAAATGCCATCTGGTTGAGAAATAGAATGTGCATTTCTCAGTACAGTGGTACCTTGGGTTAATAACTTAATTCATTCTGGAGGTCTGTTCTTAACCTGAAACTGTTCTTAACCTGAAGCACCACTTTAGCTAATAGGGCCTCCCGCTGCCGCCGTGCCGCTGGAGCACGATTTCTGTTCTCATCCTGAAGCAAAGTTCTTAACCTGAAGCACTATTTCTGGGTTAGTGGAGTGTGTAACCTGAAGCGTATGTAACCTGAAGCCTCTGTAACCCGAGGTACCACTGTATGTATCTGGGGAGAAAGAGGAACTTTCCATAACTTAGTTTGATATCGAGGACATCATAAAAATGGAAGTACTTTACAGTCGTATCTTGGTTTTCGAACAGCTTAGTTCTCTAACGTTTTGGCTCCCGAACACCACAACCCCAGAAGTGAGTGTTCCGGTTTGCGAACTACTTTTGGAAGCTGAACATCCGACGGGGCTTCCACGGCTTCCGATTAGCTGCAGGAAATTCCATTAGCCAATCAGAAGCTGCGATTTGGTTTTCGAACATTTTGGAAGTCGCACTTTGGTTTTCAAACGTTTTGGAGGTCCTACTTCCAAGGTATGACTGTATTGGCATTTTCAACATTCGGAACAAACTTTTAGCAGCCCCATTGTTCTCTGCAAGACCTTGGAAGTTAGCACCTCTGTTGCCAATCTTCAACCTATTGTTTTCTTCTAATGTTTTCTTAGTTTTTGCATGAAAGCATCCATGATGAAGTGGTGGAGAAACTTGTAAAGGCGTACGCACAAGTCCGTATTGGAGATCCTTGGGACGGTAAGAGCTCCTCTTTGCTCTGGGAAGCATTGCATGGTGGTTCTTGGTTGCCATTGGAGTTTGGGAGAACTGAACAGTTGCCCACTTCCCAAGCTGCCATTTCGGGGGGGGGGGGGAGAGGAGCGGCTTTCTTCATAGCTCTGCCTCTTCCTTACAGGATTACCTGTTAGGTGTCTGAGAAGAAACGCTGTGCACACACGTGTGGGGTTTTTTTGAACCATCCAAAGGCCTTGCCCAAAACGTTGCTTCTCTTACTTAGGAAGGAGAAGTTGCATTTTGGCACAAGAAAATTGCTTTAAGCAGCTCCAACTTGGGCCAAGCCTAGCTAATCTGAACTTCTTTCTCTATATATGTATATAATGGTTAAAGAAGAAAGTCTATGAGTCATGGTGAAGGGGAAAGCATGTATACAACTTCAACAGGGCTTTGTTTGTTTTGTTGCTGTTTTGTTAATGTTGTTAATACTGTTTTATAGATCTGAATACAGTGGTGCCTCGCAAGACAAAATTAATCTGTTCCGCGAGTCTCTTCGTCTTGCGTTTTTTTCGTCTTGCGAAGCACGGCTATTAGCGGCTTAGCGGCTATTAATGGCTTAGCGGCTATTAACGGCTTAGCGGCTTTAAGAAAAAGGAAACAAACTCGCCAGAACTCGCAAGACGTTTCGTCTTGCGAAGCAAGCCCATAGGGAAATTCGTCTTGTGGAACGACTCAAAAAAACGGAAAACTCTTTCGTCTTGCGCGTTTTTCGTCTTGCGAGGCATTCGTCTTGTGAGGTACCACTGTAGTGCCATACTTTGTGAATCCTATAATAATATAATATAGAATAGAATAGAATAGAATAGTTGGTGTAACTCAGGGGACAGCAAACTTTTTCAGTCCACTGTCCCTCAGACCTTGTGGGGAGCAGGACTATATTTTGAAGGGGAAAAAATGAACGAATTCCTATGCCTCACAAATAATCCAGAGATGCATTTAAATAAAAGGACACATTCTACTCATGTAAAAACACCAGGCAGGCCCCACAAATAACCCAGAGATGCATTTTAAATAAAAGGACACATTCTACTCATGTAAAAAACATGCTGATTCCTGGACCGTATGTGGGCTGTATTTAGAAGGCAATTGGGCTGGATCCGGCCCCCGGGCCTTAGTTTACCTACCTATAGTGTAACTGATGTTTAGCTTATTTTTTAGTTGTTTTGTTAATAGTGTTACATAGATGGTAATTGTTTTATTTGAGATTTGGGATTGTCTTCCTGATGATTTGGTAAGTATTCTATACGATTTATGCTGTATTCGTGATGTTCTATTATGTTATTTTTATCTTCTGTTTGTAAGCCGCTTTGGGAATCATTTGAATAAAAGGGGGCATAGAAATAGAAAAAAAGAAAGAAAAAGATCTGATCCTATTGACAGTGCAATAGTCCTAGGCATTATCTGGATTTCAACATTGTGATATATCAGCAGCTTGAATCCCTTGATATGCTGATATATCACAATGTCTGGAACGTATCTTGGCTGCTTCTTCCTCCTTAGGGTTGCCATATCTTGAAGAGCAAAAAAGAGGACAGCACAAGCCACTGCCAGCCTGAGCCCCAGACATTTCCTTTAAAATGTAGAAATCTGGTAATATAAAAAATTAGAAGTCACTTGAAAGCACCAAATAGGCCTAGGATTAAATTAGGATTTAATTGTAAGTAAGTTGGATTTAGAACAGTAAGAAAAGAGAATAAGATAGTTAATTGCTGGAAATAATTTTAGTTTAAGAATTATATTGGAGAGCTGTTACATGCAGATACAGTGAAATTCAGAAGGGAGGGATCTGAAGAAGTCAATTAGCAATGTAAGAGAAATTGGGTTTTAAAGGGATATGTGTTTTAAGATTTATTTATTTTTATTTATTAGTACTGTATTGTGTTTTCTTTTGTGTTTTTTCTTTTCTTTTTTCTATGTTATATTTGTTATAATTGTGGAAAATGCAATTTAAAAATTTGGAAAAATAATAATGTAGAAATCTGCCCAGATGACCATGTTGGCCCCCAAAAGAGGACATGTCCAGGTTTCCCCAGACATATGGCAACCTCGTTCCTCCCCACCTAAGCTTCCCACCCCCCAGCCAAGTGAGCCCCGATACCACTGTTGCTCTCATGAGCTGGAGGGACTTCTTTAAACGGTTTAGCGGAGGCAAGAAAACCTTTTTGTGCCCCAGCTGAACAAACCACTTTGTTGTTCTGTTCGCGCGAAAAGCGGGGCTTCTTTAAACAGCTCAGCGGATGCACAGAAGCCTTTTTCCGAGCAAGTTTCATCACAGCTAGAGGAAAGTTCTTGGTCTGCCTCTGTTCTGTGGTTTGCTGCTCCCTGTGGGAGCCTGGGGAGAGCTGAGCGGGCAAACCAACAGACAAAAGCATTTTCTGGTTTCGAGTGGTGGATCGTCGGGGCAAAATTTTGAACCAGTTATCATGATGTGGATTATCATAGAATCATAGAGTTGGAATAGACCACAAGGGCCATCGAGTCCAAGCAGGAAACACCATCAGAGCACTCCTGACATATGGTTGTCAAGCCTCTGCTTAAAGACCTCCAAAGAAGGAGACTCCACCACACTCCTTGGCAGCAAATTCCACTGTCGAACAGCTCTTACTGTCAGGAAGTTCTTACTAATGTTTAGGTGGAATCTTCTTTCTTGTAGTTTGGATCCATTGCTCCGTGTCCGCTTCTCTGGAGCAGCAGAAAACATCCTTTCTCCCTCCTATATATGACATCCTTTTATATATTTGAACATGGCTATCATATCACCCCTTAACCTCCTCTTCTCCAGGCTAAACATGCCCAGCTCCCTTAGCCGTTCCTCATCGTTTCCAGGCCTTTGACCATTTTGGTTGCCCTCCTCTGGACACGTTCCAGTTTGTCAGTGTCCTTCTTGAACTGTGGTGCCCAGAACTGGACACAGGATTGGATTGAAATCTGGTTCTCAACGATCTATCGCCAGATTGGCCAGGTCTATAGTGCAGTTCTCTTTTTATATACATATACAACATATACAGTGGAACCTCGGTTTTCTAATGTCTCAGTTGACGAATGATTCAGAATTTGAATGCCGTAAACCCGGAAGAAAATGCTTCCGTTTTCAAACATGCTTCCAAAGTCGAACCTTTGAGGTGGTTTCCGTATTGAGTTTTCGGTTTTCATACATTTCGGGGCTCGAAGGGTCTTCCAGAACGGATTATGTCTGAAAACTGAGGTTCCACTGTACAGTCATACCTCGGGTTGAATATGCTTCATGTTGAGCGTGTTCGAGTTGCGCTCCGCGGCAACCCGGAAGTAACGGAGCGTGTTACTTCCGGGTTTTGCCGCTCGCGCATGTGCAGACACTCAAAATGATGTCATGCGCAGAAGCGGCAAAAAGCGACGCTTGCGTGCGCAGACGTGTCGTTGCTAGTTACGTTTGCTTCTGGATGCGAACGGGGCTCTGGAATGGATCCTGTTCGTATCCAGAGATACCACTATATATGCATGTTTTATACATGTTTATTTGCTTTTCTGTTTTATCATATAATTAGTGCATAGTATGTTACAGGCAAACACATGGTATTATGAAAGGGGGGGAATCACATAAGCATAAAACATTTCTGTAAATAATATATCTCGAATTAATAATAGTAGCATAACTAGGTCCTCCAATTTAATTCACTCTTATAAAGCTTAATTTTAACTCCCACCCTTTCTCTGGTTTCCTATCTGTTGTCTTTTTAACTGCATTTTCTTACTTTACTAAATTATGTTCGTTACATAGGCGCCGACTCCATGGGGCCTGAGGGGGCCCGAGCCCCCTCAAAAATTCGTTTGGGGGGGCTCCGCCCCCCCAATAATCTCGGGCGCCCCTCCAGCAGAGCGCCACCGCCGCCCCTCCCCCAGCCCAAAATGCACAGGGTCGGGCTGCATGCCTCCTGCCCTCCCTCCCGAGCAAAAGCTCCACCCAATTTCCTTCGGAGCTGATTAATAGGCGCAGCACGCTCTCCCCTATTCGCTCACGAGGAGGCGGCGCCACTTTATCTGCATATTCATTAGTTTATTTATTATTCATGAGCTTTCGCGGGCTCCCCCAATATTTTTTATAAGTCGGCGCCCCTGGTTCGTTACCTTTGTCACATCTACGGCTGAGTATTTCTTTCCTGTTACACTTATTTTCTTGTTACAATATTTCCCCCATATATTCTTCTTATCATGTCCAGCCCTCTTTTGAATTTTTAATTGTCTTTATTTCGAGAGAAGAATGGCCCCTTAGAATATTGGAATATATAGAACTTGGCGGCATGACAAATAGATGAAGAAATATAGTGCAGTTCTCAAGACAACATAGGCATTGTGGTAAATATTAGCTGTGGGCCCTGCTCAGATATACACTTTTCTTTTCTTTCTTGCAGCAAACACCCTCTATGGCCCTCTGCACACGGAGCAAGCGGTGAAGTTGTATGTTGATGCTGTGGCCCAGGCCAAACAGCAAGGCGGCTCTGTGGTCTATGGTGGGAAGGTGATTAATCTCATAAATACTTGAAAATCTCTCTATATTTTCCCTGCGATTACAAAAAACGTTAAAGCTGTCATCTTGAACATGTTTCTCCCAACAATGGTGCACTATTTTTCTTGGAGGATAAAATCTGCTTGCAGGATGGGTCGATGATTAGTTTTATTTCTGATCAGGGTTTTCTGGGTGACGGATAATTTTAAAACAAAGCCCCACCGTAAAGCCTAGAAGGTGAAATTCCTTGGTAGTCGTACTCTGAATGCACCCACTGATATCCATGGGCTTTTCAAAATTGATGGGGAATCTACTGTCTTTGTGAGGTTACGAGTTCTGCTGAAAGCAAGCCGTTTTAGTGAAATGCTCCAATGAAATCGCATTGGAGCATCGGGCATTTAATGTATGATCTGTCTTGCCCAAAACCAACTGGTACCATTTTCTTCTCCACCTTTTCCATTCCAGGTTATAGATCGTCCCGGAAACTATGTTGAGCCGACCATTGTGACTGGCCTTCCACATAATGCGCCGATCGTGCAGACGGAGACGTTTGTCCCTATTTTGTACGTGATAAAATTTAAGGTAAGTTTGGGTGTTAACGACTCGCTTTCTTTACACGTTCAAAGGTGGTAGCGTCATGAAGAAGGGAGGGGAAATTAATGGCCCATAAAAATGGTGCTGAATCACACGAGTCAGCCTCCAAGTATTGGAAACCTTGAAATCCTTTCAAGTTTTGATTGGCAGCTGGCAACAGAACATTTGTTCAGGGACATTTGTCACCAAATGGTGTTAAATATGTTGGCCATAGCATGGGTTGTGTCAGGCAATATATATAATTTCTGTTTTACAATTTCAAATAAACATTTTACAAACTGTAAAATATCCAGTGACTTTGCTTCTTCTCTTTTCATGGTCCATTTTACATACCCTACGTCCCTGTATATTTTACTATAACCATTCAAATTAGTTTTCCACTTCTACATCCATCTAAAATTATTTACTCTGTTGAATTTATCTTAATGCTGCCAGCATTTTCAGCTGTATACAATTATTTTCCATATATTCAATAAATGTTTTCCAGTCTTCTTTAAACGTGTGTTCTTCTTGCTCTCATATTCTATATGTTAAATCTGCATATTTTGTCAAATTGCCAATCCTCTTTAGTTGGGATCTCGCTCACTTTCCATTTTGGGGCTAACAAAACACGGGCCACAATTTTCACATATAAATAACCTTTTCTGACACCTGGGAATTTCAGTCTGGGTTATCCCCAACAAAAAGGATTCTGGGGTTTTTTTGGGGGGGAAAGTACTTTTAAACATTTTTTTCAATTCATTATGGATCATTTCCCAATACCCTTTTACCTTTTTACACGTCCACCACATGTGGAAGAATGTTCCCTCCACTTCGTTACATTTCCAACACTTATCTGATTCTCTTTTATAAATCTTAGCTAATCTACTTGGAGTTAGTACCATCTATGAATCATTTTCAAATAGTTCTTTCAATGAATAACATGCAGTAAATTTCAGGTCACTTTTCCAGAGTTTCAGATCTATATTGTGTCCTGTATCTATTGCCCAGTGTGTCATTGAAGCTTTAACAAGCTTGTCTTTCATTTCCCATTCTAATAGAAAACTATAAATTTTAGACAAAAGTTTATCCTTACTGTCAGGGAACTGCCATTGGAGCCAGAGGGAGAGGGAGGGCTCCAGAGGGGTTCCGGAGAGCGTCCCGGGAGGGAGAGAAGCAGCACATCTTCTGGGGAAGGAAATCAGCGTAGCACCAGTGGAGAAGGGGGGCAGATGGGGGAATCGGCGAGGTGGCTCCATGACTCCTCGCCGGGGACCAGCGGGGAGAGCACGGGTCCTCCGCTGCCCACGCCCTCCCTGCGCAGAAGGCTTCCGTGCAGGGAGACTAGGCGGAGACTAGGTGTCAAAGAGCTTCTTTGCTGGAAGAAGTTCAAGAAACGCCCACTGACAGATTCTGCCAGCGATTGAGACAGCCACGGGCGAGTGGCTGTCCAAACAGAGAGGGTTCACTCAGGCAACCCAGCCAGGTGTGGCGCCGATTTACGCATGAGCAACCCCTAGAACCATTACACTTACTTTGCAAGAGTTCTTTTTCAGATTGTGAGCTTTGGTCCAAAAATCCATTCTTTCTATCTAATTTAAACATATTGTGTAACTGGTGATCTTGCAACCAATCTGTAACCCAAGGTTTTCCTTGGGTTGTGTCAGGCAATTTTGGGGCAACCTTAATTTTCCTCTCTGGAAAACCAGAGCTCAGGGCGAAAACTCTTGAGCTCCAACACACAACCAAGAGGACTATGAAAATTTGGGAGGATGGAGCAGGGTACTTTAATTAGAATGGTACTGCTCTCACAAAACAACAACAGGAGCATTCAAAAAAGAGTAAAATAACTGATAATTTGGAAAGGAAGGGTGGGCTGGAAGAACAGGGAGCTGAGAAGCAAAGGAAATGAAGAAAATACTTGGGTCTGAAAGAACCATTAAATGTTCAGTCCTCCAAGTCAGAGACAGAATTTGAAAAACCGCAGAGAGCCACATGAGACAAGGCTATATTCCTCCTCCAAGGAAGAGGGCTTGGAGAATCTGGAAAATCCTTCCCTTCCCTCATTTATATGGAGATGTTAGTTTCATGTCGAACAGCTGCAGTGCCATGTTCATTTTTAATAATAATAATAATAATAATAATAATAATAATAATAGATAAATAAATATAATAATAATAATAATAATAATAATAATAATAATAATAATAATAATAATAATTTGTCCCCTGACCATCTGGCTGGGTTTCCACTCTGGGCGGCTCCCAACAGAATATTAAAAAAGCGATAAAACATCAACCTTTAAAAACTTCCCTAAACAGGGCTTCCTTCAGATATCTTTTAAAAGTCAGTTGTTTGTTTCTTTGACATCTGATGGGAGGGCGTTCCACAGGGCAGGCGCCACCACCAAGAAGGCCCTCTGCCTGCTTCCCTGTAACCTCACTTCTCGACTCATTTAACAATGTGCACTTTCATTTCCAGACGGAAGAAGAAGCCTTTGCATGGAATAACGAAGTAAAACAAGGTCTCTCCAGTAGCATCTTTACCAAAGATTTGGGCAGGATATTCCGCTGGCTCGGGTATGGCTCTTCCCTTTTCTGTGGACAAAGGTGGGGGATATTCTATTGGAGTGCGGGGTATTTACATCTTCTTCAAACATTGCCTAGATGAGATTTCCAACTCCAGCTTCGTTGTTGGAGATTGGTCCTTCTGGAGAATTGAGACTGACGTCTGCTTTGGTAATCGATTTTCCTTTTTTTACAGGCCAAAGGGATCAGACTGTGGCATTGTAAACGTCAATATTCCAACCAGTGGGGCTGAAATTGGAGGTGCCTTTGGTATGTCCCCCCATCCCTTCTCCAAAAAAATTGTTGAATGCTATTGGACCTACAGAAAGTTCCTAAATTTCCATGCAGATCCATAGATGGGGGGTGGTCATAGTTTACAGATGACCTACACAATTGTGTCTGCTTTTGGATCCCTCCAGTCTCCCAGCTTTAGTCCAGGGTATTCGTAGTGTATTTTGATGTACAGATGGATCCTGTCTGCCCCATCCCACCCCACGGTCAGGCTGTAATAAATTGGGCACCATCTAGAACAATGATGACCAAACTTGGCCCTCCAGCTGTTTTGGGACTACAACTCACATCATCCCTAGCCAACAGGACCAGTGGTCAGGGATGATGGGAATTGTAGTCCAAGTTTGGCCATCACTGATCTAGAAGGAAGGGCTTCAGAGTTAGACATACATCAACCGCAAATGTTCCTATTTATTCAGCACAAGTCAAAAAGATGCCTTATTCCAAGTTTTGGAGTAATTGTTTGTTGGAGTATTTGGAGTACAGTGGTACCTTGGTACTCGAACGGCTTGGCTCCCTAACAAATCGGCTTCTGAATGCAGCAAAAGTGAGTGTTCTGGTTTGTGAACGTTTTTTGGAAGCCAAACATCTGACGCGGCTTCCACTTGGGTGCAGGAAGCTCGTACAGCCAATCGGAAGCCACACCTTGGTTTTCGAACTGTTTCGGGAGTCGAACAGACTCCTGGAATGGATTAGCTTCGAGACCCAAGGTACCACTGTACAATGGAACCTCTGTTTTTGAGTATCTCGGAAGCCAAATGCTGAAAACCTGGAAGTGAATTCTTCCGTTCTCAGGCGCGCCTCAGAATTCGAATGGCTTCTGAGGCGCATTTCTCCATTTTTCTCAGTGGAATTTGCCGACAGCCTATTGTGCCTCAGTTGTTGAACATTTCGGAAGTTGAACGGTCTTCCGGAACAGATTACGTTCAACAACCGAGGTACCACTGTATCTGTAGAAAAAATATGTAGCCTAGGCACTCCTGCTCTTCAATGCAATTTCTGTACAGTGGTACTTCAGGTTACATATGCTTCAGGTTACATACGCTTCAGGTTACAGACTCCGCTAACCCAGAAATAGTACCTCGGGTTAAGAACTTTGCTTCAGGATGAGAACAGAAATCGTGCTCCGGCGGCGCGGCAGCAGCAGGAGGCCCCATTAGCTAAAGTGGTGCTTCAGGTTAAGAACAGTTTCAGGTTAAGAACGGACCTCCGGAACGAATTAAGTACTTAACCTGAGGTACAACTGTATAAGGTTTTCGTTCTCTAGTTGGAAGAATGTACTGAATATTGCTGGCTTCATGATGGAATCCCTGCTATCATGAGAGCTGTGAATTTGAGATGACATGGGCATTTTCAGGAGCATAGAGGATGCTGAGATTATTTAGCCTTCAGTGAGGAGAGGAAAGAGGCTGAATGTTTCTATAGTCTGTCTAGATATGAGCTTCTTTGAGAAGTGCAAAGCGACATTCCTTGGTTTTCAACCTGCAACATCTCTTACCACCCCCTTCTCCCTAGGCGGTAATAAACACACTGGAGGCGGAAGGGAATCTGGCAGCGATTCGTGGAAGCAATATATGAGGCGATCCACTTGGTAAGAGCTCAGGGGTTATGGCCGTGTAAATATTATCCAAGTTGCCCTTCAGGGGAAAGCCAAATAAGCAAAGCAAACCACAATTTAGCCTTAATCGTAAGTCTAAAGGGGGAAAGAATGCAAAAACATAATTTAATTAACTGAGTAAAGATCCAAAATCAAATGTCAGCGTTCACCACTGCCCTCCTCCCTGCAGCTGTTATTTTAAAAGTAACAAACATGGCATGCTTGACCCTAATTTACTGAAAATTGGATTATAATTTTGTGTCGTTTCATTTCTTTTCCTTAATGTTATATGCTTGGTTGAAAATAAAAAGTACAAAATCGCAAGTGCACAGAGTGAGGTAAGACACGCAAAAAAGGAGCAAGAAATAGTCCCCACAGAAAACCAGACAGAAAAAAGATTCTGTGTAAAACAAAAAAAAGGGGGGATTCTTATTGTAGTTAACCAGGCTTAATTTAATAGTGTTATTTCAATTAAGAAACCCCTACGCCTATATGCCAGTGTGGTTTGCTGTGTGACTTGTTCCATTAGTGTGATAGCACAGCACTAGAGGGAGCTGCTATGTATAGCTTAATGTATATGCATAACTGAATTAATTATATCTGCATTATTCACGTCAGGAGTAAGTCCAACTTGTTTATTTCCACCTTATGTGTGTCCACGTGTCTTTGTTATCCTGGCAACCTCAGAGTAGAGGTGTGCACTTTTCTGGCAGAAACTGTCAATGCTTTCCTCCCAAAACTGTGACATTAGTTTGTAGTTGCTTCAGGTTAATCCACATTCGCCTTATCTCTGTGAGAGCATTTTTAGATCTACTAGGCTGCTGTGGGAAACAGGATTGTGCACTTAACAACAACAACAGCAACGCCGTACCTTGGTTTTTGAACAGCCTAGTTCTCGAACATTTTGGCTCCCGAATGATCGAAACCCAGAAGTGACTGTTCTGGTTTGCGAATGTTCTTTTGGAATCCGAACGTCAGATGGGCTTCTGCGGCTTCTGATTGGCTGCAGGAGCTTCCTACAGCCAATCAGAAGCCATGCTTTGGTTTTCAAATGCTTTGGTGTTGTTGTTGCTGTTAACAGCAGAGCAGCAACTTGCATCCCATTCAGTGATGCTAATTCAGGGATGGGGAACTTGTGGCTTTCCAAATGTTGGGCCTCCCGATTCCCATCAGTCCCAGCCAGCATGACCAGTGGTCAGGGTTGATGGGAATTGTAGTCCAACAAGATCTGGAGAGCTGCAGTTTCTCCATCACTGTGCCAAACAGATCCAGAGTGGTGTGCGAGATAATCCTGAAGCCATATGATAGGCTGAATGAAAATGCAAATACAGTAAATGGTTTCTAAAAGCAACAATGGAACACAGAATTGCAAAAGATGTTCTATGTTAAAAATGGCAGCAGAAAAACTAATGTTATACATTATTATTATTAATAATAATAATATTAGTAGTAGTAGTTTCATTTCTTAATCACTTTATGCGAAGCATCCTGAAGTGATTTTCAATATAAAAATGTCTTTAAAAGCAGTTAAAACAATTGATTATGCAAAAATAATTTTAAAGAGCAGCTATAAACATTAAAAGCCCAATGTCTTCAATTTCTTTTTTCTTTTTTTACATAATTTTTATTAAATTTTCTGTTTTACAATTTAGAATATTCATTTAAACAACCTTAAAATATTGATGACTTCTCCTCTTCTCTTTCCATGGTTCCTTTTTTGTAGCATAAATCCCTGCATATTTTACATAAACTAAACCGTTCAGTATTCCATTAATACATCCATCAAAACTTATCTACACTGTTGAATTTATCTTAATGCTGCCAGCATTTTCACATGTACGCAATTTCCCCCCATATATTCAATAAACATTTTCCAATCTTCTTTAAACGTATGTTCTTCTTGTTCTCTTACTCTATATGTTAGATCTGCAAGCTGCGCATATTCCATCAGTTTAAGTTGCCATTCTCCTTTGGTTGGGACCTCGCTTGTTTTCCATTTTGGAGCTAACAAAACGTGGGCTGCAGTAGCGGCCTACATAAATAACCTTCAATTTCGATCGAATTGTTTGATCCAGTAGGGTTCTTGGCTTTTCCTTTGCTCCTATAACCTGCATATTTTACTTAATGGCTGGGGCAACCCAGTCGGAAGGGTGTGGTACAAATAATAACGTATTAATAATAATATTTTATTTGTCATGACCAACTCTACTTTATCTGTTTATCTTTCAGCACCATCAATTACAGCAAGGATTTGCCTTTGGCTCAAGGAATCAAGTTCCAATAGCATCCTTGCAAATGTGCTACCCTGGCTGAACTTTGCGTTGAAGAATCAAGTCCCTGTTGATTTGAAATGTTGGACGTGGCACTCCCTGAAATCATGTGGCGTTGAGGATATTTGACTGCTCCAGTGTCCCCGGAGACATACTGAGGGTCCCTCGTGGCCCCTGGCCCCAAATCCCTTTGCCGCGATAGCCGTATCAAAAAGGACTGCATTTTATGGAACCCAAGTACTCAAAAGGGTCTGGAGAGGAGGAAGGCTGAAAAAAGCTGTCTTTGTGCTACAGTGTGAGGAGGACGGGAACATTCTCCTACGTCCAATCTCTCGGTGCATCACAACACAAATATACAGGCACACCTCGTTTCATTGTGCTTCAATTCATGGCCCTTTGCATATATTTTTCCTGGCCACTTCCAGGGTAAGGAAGCCCCACACCCCACATGCCGCCCCACTTTTAGCCGCAGAAGTGGAGTTGAAGCTGTTCCCCCCCCCTCCTGCCCCCGCAGCCAGGCGAGCCAGCTTAATAGACTATAGTACGGTGCAAACATCACTTTTATACGCACTGGGAAACCCCTCCAAATTGTGTGACTTGCTTCATATTGCAAATTCGGCTCGCCGCAATATCTCCGAGGTATGCCTGTATATCATGCACTCCGTAATCGTCTGCCTTCAAACCGCCTTGCCATTGCTCCTACTGCTCAGCTCCCAATCTTACACAGACGACTGGAAACAGATTTTGGGGGGTGATTTTTGCGCCCAGCTCCTCCCCCCCAGGCCAATTTTGTCGACCGCCAGGTATGTCCCTGAGAGTCCCTTTCTAGAAATCCCAATTAGGCAGAATATTTGCACACATTTTAATCATGTATCTGGGACTCTGACGCTGTACTTGAGTCCCAGCGAAGCACCGGTATCTTTTTGAATCTTAGATCATGATCTATAAAATCCTACAACGCCGCCTGTGCCTGTTGCATTGGTCACGCACAACTAAACTGTGCCAAAGTGTATTGGAAAGGATTCCTATATAGCCGGTTGCAATGCAGAAATAAAACTTCTACGTCTCTTGCTATCCTGATCGGCCTGCTTATTTATTTACTTGGGATCTCCAGTGTTCTGAAAAGTAATAGTAATAGTAATAATAATAATAATAATAATAATAATAAAAATAAAAATAAATACTGTGGGATTAGGCAGAATGTTTATGCTCACAGTGTGCTGCTTGCAATAAGATTAATTCCCTTCTTTTTCTTAAAAAACAACAACTGTAAAACAATGGCTATTGAAAGCCTATGATATTTCTATGCAGTGCTATTTTTCTAGAAAAAGAGGTGCCGGAACTCGCCATGAACAGAGAGGGACCAGAATTGAGTTAAAGTGAGTTCTATGTAAAAGTGTCTTCTTTGGCAATCATTCATAGCCAAGTAAAATTGTCTTCCATGAACGCTGTCTTAACAGTGAGTCCGTAAGTGATTGTGGAGACCAATTCTGGATCCACAGTGGGGACATAGGTTTCCAGATGGGAGTTGATCACAGTGAGGGTTTGCCAAGAATGCCTTCCTCTTAGCACGTTTCTCCCTTTCGTCCTGAGTTCGAATGCCTTCAAAGCTCATGACACACCTTTGGTCAAGGCTGTTCTCCAATTGGAGCACTCACAGGCCAGTGTTTCCCAGTTGTGGGTGTTTATACTACATTTTGTAGAAAGCATAAGACCAGGGGTCAGCAAACTTTTTCAGCAGGGGGAGTCCACTGTCCCTCAGATCTTGTGGGGGGCCAGACTGTATTTGGGGGGCAGAATGAACAAATTATTATGCCCCACAAATAACCCAGAGATGCATTTTAAATAAAAGCACACATTCTACTCATGTAAAAACACACTGATTCCCGGACCATCTGCAGGCTGGATTTAGAAGGCGATTGGGCTGGATCCAGCCCCTGGGCCTTAGTTTGCCTGCCTGTGCATAAGACTAATGGCTGTTCACAGCAGTAGTAACTTCCCAGTTTTTAATACCCCAGAGGGAAATAAATCCTTGGGTAACATACAGCTAAAGATACATTTGGAGGTGGAAATTATTATTGAACATGCGGTTGGGAGCAGGGCAGAGGAAGGCGATACTTGGCCCCCTCCCACATGTTTAATCGGGTTTCAAAAAAATATATCAGATTGGGTGGTGAGAGGGGCAAGGATGTGTTGGGTCCAGTCCTGCTGCTTCCTCAACAGATTCCCAGCACAGACCCTGCGGAAGCTGCCTGTTTCTTTCCCTGCTCCCTGACTACCCTGGGTCTCTCCAGGAGGGCTTCCTCAATCCAATCCAGGCCAAGCCTGGACTGAACCCAGTTTGGTTGGGGATGTGGGCTTCAATCAGATTGGACACACAGCCCTAGGAAGTGGCAGTCTTGCATACCCTCCAAGTGTTCCTCCTTTTCAGGGATGGTCCTGGATTCTCAGAAGCTGTTCCAGTTTCTTATTTGACCCCAGAATGTCTCGCTTTTCCTTGTTGTTTAGTCATTTAGTCGTGTCTGACTCTTTGTGACCCCATGGACCAGAGCATGCCAGGCACTCCTGTCTTCCACTGCCTCCCGCAGTTTGATCAAACTCATGCTGGTAGCTTCGAGAACACTGTCCAACCATCTCGTCCTCTGTCGTCCCTTCTCCTTGTACCCTCCATCTTTCCCAACATCAGGGTCTTTTCCAGGGAGTCTTCTCTTCTCATGAGGTGGCCAAAGTATTGGAGCCTCAGCTTCACGAGCTTTCCTTCCAGTGAGCACTCAGGGCTAATTTCCTTAAGAATGGATAGGTTTGATCTTCTTGCAGTCCATGGGACTCTCAAGAGTCTCCTCCAGCACCATAATTCAAAAGCATCAATTCTTCGGCGATCAGCCTTCTTTATGGTCCAGCTCTCACTTCCATACATCACTACTGGGAAAACCATGGCTTTAACTATGCGGACCTTTGTTGGCAAGGTGATGTCTCTGCTTTTTAAGATGCTGTCTAGGTTTGCCATCGTCTTTCTCCCAAGGAGCAGGCGTCTTTTAATTTCGTGACTGCTGTCACCATCTGCAGTGATCATGGAGCCCAAGAAAGTAAAATCTCTCACTGCCTCCATTTCTTCCCCTTCTATTTGCCAGGAGGTGATGGGACCAGTGGCCATGATCTTCATTTTTTTGATGTTGAGCTTCAGACCATATTTTGCGCTTTTCTCTTTCACCCTCATTAAAAGGTTCTTTAATTCCTTCTCGCTTTCTGCCATCAAGGTTGTGTCATCTGCATATCTGAGGTTGTTGATGTTTCTTCCGGCGATCTTAATTCCGGTTTGGGAATCATCCAGCCCAGCCTTTCTCATGATGAAAGTAAAATCTCTCACTGCCTCCATTTCTTCCCCTTCTATTTGCCAGGAGGTGATGGAACCAGTGGCCATGATCTTAGTTTTTTGCCCCTATTTTCATCGGAGAATGGTTGGAGGGTATGGAGCTATGCAACCCTACAGACGTTTTTAAATGCTTAATTGCATTTATATATATATATTGGAAGCCGCCCAGAGCGACTGGAGCAACCCAGTCGGATGGACGAGTTATAAATAACAAAACTATGATGGTGGTAGTGGAATAGGACGTCCCTATTTTCATCAGAGAAATGTTTGAGGGCATGGTCTTGTTTGCAGAAAGTTTGGTTACCAGGCCTTTGGGAGGGGAGGTTATTTCTGCATGCAGAGGAAGGAGGTTTATTGCGTCTAAAAAGCATTGCTGAAGAAATGCTCCAAGCTCAACATGCATCCAAAATTGCAGTTTGCTTGTCTTTGGCCTTCTGGTTCTCACTATTGCAGCTTTATCTAAGCTTGAATGAATGCCTAGCAACTAGGTGAAGTCCCAGGACCTCTTTGTCACCATCAGTTTTTACAGTTCTTGTGGGCAATTCTGAACATCCTACAGTATCTGTAATTCTGATTAGGGATAGCCAATCCTTCTGACGGAAGGATGGTACAGTGGTACCTTGAGTTAAGTACTTAATTCATTTTGGAGGTCTGTTCTTAACCTGAAACTGTTCTTAACCTGAAGCACCACTTTAGCCAATGGGGCCTCCTGCTGCTGCCGCGCCACCGGAGCACAACTTCTGTTCTCATCCTGAAGCAAAGTTCTTAACCTGAAGCACTATTTCTGGGTTAGCGGAGTCTGTAACCTGAAGCATATGTAACCTGAAGCGTATGTAACCTGAGGTATCACTGTATTTTTGCAGCTACATGTAAGCAAATTAGGCAGATGTGGGGGGGGGGAATGTTTTGATTCTCAAAATTCCTTGGGGTGGCTTTTTAGCACTACAACTCCCATCATCCATTTGACAGTTTGCCATCCTGGCTGGGACCAATGGGAGTTGTCATCCGAAAAATCTGGAGGGCACTAGGATAGGGAAGGCAAATTCTACCTCTTGGCTTTACAGTGTCCTCAGGGAAGAACAGCACTTTGGTTTGCTAGATAGCTTTTGCAACCATTCCAGTGGGAAGAGGCCTTTCAAAAGCGGCCTTCAGCAAATATTCTTGGCGCGGATTCCAACCTTGCAGATAAGCTTTTTTAGAAGAGCAGTATTTATGAGGCGCTAATGAAACAAAGACAAGTTTAGAGATACTGTAAACAAGTTGATGATCCTTAATTTCTGGTTTAATTATCAGAGGCTATTGAGTAGATTATAAACTGCAGTTGCTGCTAGTTGATCATTGTTCCCTGAGGAGCATTGTTTGAGTAGTTGTAAAATATGTCCTAGAGCTGCGACCGTATTAGGCGTTGCAAGGAGCTGCTTGCCACTTCGTGCAGCTGCTGTTTGCGTCTTCGGCTGTTGCTCAATTGCCATTGAGCACATAACAGCAGTGAATCCAGAGTGTTGAATTACACGGACGATCAATAATTCACCGGCCAGCACTGTATTTGCTTTCTGACAGGATGACCTTGAAGGAAATATTCTCTTCCCCTGGCATCATTTAGAGGTTGGTCAGCGAAACAGACACTCCACCGTTTGCAGCACAGTGCAAGAGGTGGTTTTTCACCCAGGAAAACTCTAGCAAGAGACTGCTTACCAGCTCAGTTACCTGCTAACACAGGCTTCCTCAACCTCGGCCCTCCAGATGTTTTTGGCCTACAACTCCCATGATCCCTAGCTAGCAGGACCAGTGGTCAGGGATGATGGGACTTGTAGTCTCAAAACATCTGTGCTAACATTTTGTACATGCTATTTATAGCACTGGGGAACAATTTATTTTTTCTGTTTTCTGTTGCCTGTGATTTTTCAACTGTTCTTATATGTTCTTTCAATGCTGATTTCAAATCTGAAATATGTAAATATGACATATCGGCAAAAGTCGGAAATTGAAAGGTAACTGTAGCATGTACATGAAAATTGATTTCAGATTTGAAATCAGCATTGAAAGAACATATAAGAACAGTTGGAAAATCTCATGCAAAAGAAAATGAAAAAAAAAATTGTTCCCCAGTATCCTATGTATCCCAAGGGAATACATTTTTTTGCATACCTCCAACTGTACATAGATATACATGTCATTTTTAATGCTATACATGCCATGTTCAATGCTATATAAGTCACTTACATTTATACATTTGTACTACTTTGGCTATGTGTTTAATAAAATAAATAAAATAATAAAATATTGAATTCTTGCATTGTGAAAAACAAAGATTATGGTAAAAAGTGAAAAACATGAATTGCAAACAACAACAACAACAACTAGAGCTTACAGAACAAAACCAACTTCAGATGTGAAATCAGCACGTCGAAATTAGGCTAGAACAACTGCAGGTGTCAATGCAACAAAAAAATTGTTCCCCAGTGTAGGATGCTATAAGCCACAAGTCCAAAAGAACCAAGGGCTACGATCCCTCTTTGGACATGGGATCAGCTGAAGAAATGTCAATGTGACCTGTTTTGAGCTGGATCTACTCTGAATTCTCAGAATCCCAATTTATTCCTTTGACCCTTTTGTGAATTGTTTTGAACGTGGCTCGGGTTTCCGTGTAGGAAAGCTGGAGGGACATCAACCATGTGGCCATTGTTTGTGACTGTCCTTTATGGGC